CTTCCGTGAAGCGGGAATGACAAGAAACCGGTGTCCTCAACAGCCGCAAAAGATGTTGGCGTTTTTTGTTTATTTATTTTATCAGGCACAATTTATCTCCTAGTAACATACCAGAGCTGGTTATGAGCTTTCTAGCATCTGGCGGGGTAAAAAGGGAACTACAGAAGTTCAACGTGTCTCTGGTGTAGAACTCAAGCCATCTTTCTATGGATAAGACCTAAAAATTAAAAAAGGTGTCTCAAATTTTAAGATCAGATGCTTTTGTAAAAGACCTAATTTTCAAGTTGCCAAAGAACCACCAGATATCAGTGCATCTGAAAATCACGCTGCTCTAAGTTGCCTGAAGTGCTGGAACATCTTTAGATTTCTGCAGGATTCTAGCACCTGGTTGAGACCTGGTCATGATTCATTATTTTATCGATTTCTACTTTTTCCCCCTTTCTATTTCTGCCACCCACCCCACCAGATCAGCACATCCTCGAAGAGCTTGAAAAGCAGTCAATCCTTGTGTATACCCCATCCCGGAAGGTGAAAGGCAAGAGGGTCGTTTGCTACGATGATCGCTACATTGTGAAAGTTGCTTATGAGAAAGACGGAGTCATTGTTTCCAACGACCATTACCGGGATCTCCAGAATGAAAACCCTGAGTGGAAATGGTTCATTGAGCAACGACTACTCATGTACTCTTTTGTCAGTAACAGGTAAGAGGCAGCTGTTGTCGGACAATCTTGAATTGGCCACGTCAGCTCCAACACCAATACGCCTCCCACCCCGGTAGCAAAGTGCGCCAACCGTTTCCTGAAAGGAATTTACTGCAGCTTTTCTTACCTGTTTCTTTAGTTCCTGCTCCCTCAGCTTTGGCCTTAAACCCCCAGTCACTCTTCAGTGAACTCCCCTATCTGAACAGCAGCATTAGTGACCAGCTTTGCTTCTTGCCTGTCCAAACTGGGATGTTAACCCGAGGCTTGGTATCTTTTAATTTCTGTTCTTTCCCTTAAGAAACAGAATTAAATCCCTGAGAGGAGGCTGGCTGTCTTGGCAGTATTTTTAATTCCCCTACAAAGCAGAACAGCACTTTTTCCTATACTTTTGCAATTGTAACTTTCTAGAAAAAGAGAAACAAGAAGCTGGTTTCTCTGGCCCTTAACCTTCCCCAGTGTGGATGGTTTTCATCAGGGCACTCGCACCGTGCCTGCGAGGCTGGGCTGTGTGCTCCTTGGTCTGTACGTACTCACCTAGTAGCCGAGGTGTTCGTTAGCCCTCTCTTTGGCTGGGGAAATGCACTCGGAGACATGCAGCGCGCACGGATGGGTGCGAGCCTCACGCAGTGGCACTCTCCGTGTGTCAGGATGGAGACTTGGTGCTCCCACAACCAAAATCGGATGGTTTCGGTTTCCCGGTAACATTGTTCACAGAAGCGCAGTCACTGAACGTCAGCATACTGTAGTTCTCCAAGCTCCAGTCCGTTATCTCCAGCCACCACCAGACTTATTCCCTGGTTACTGATGGGTTGCACTTATTTATATGATATTTTCCTTCCTGTTTCATAGGGATTGCCAGGCCTTTCCAGAACCCCTCCCTCAGAACGTTTAGCTGTTACTGTGAAGCCTGATGTAATAGTTTCGACAGGACCTTCTTGCCCAGCTTTGGGAACCTCTCTAGGACCGCATCCTCAAGTTGGAGGTTTCAGTTCCACTGTGTGGATAACCAAATTCCCTGAGTGCCTCCCTTCCCCTCCTGCCCGTGACTCCCTTCGTCTGACAGAGAGTTGTTCCATGGGTGGGTGAGGTGCAGGTTCATTTGCAAACAAGTCCAGGGATGCTAATTAGTTTTCTTCCTGAAGCATCACATTCGGGTACTGGCATAGAAGAATAAACAGTTTCATCCCAGGCTTTTGCAGGCCTTGCAGCAGGAAGCCTTTACTGAATCCCGGAAAATTGAACAGGTTTAAATTGAAAGTGGGAAGGTTTAGATTAGGTATTAGGGAGAAGTTCTTCCCGGAGAGGGTGGTGAGGCACTGGAAGAGGTTGCCCAGAGAAGCTGTGGATGCCCCATCCCTGGAAGTCTTCAAGGCCAGGCTGGACAAGGCTTTGAGCAACCTTGTCTAGTGGAAGGGGTCCCTGCCCATGGCAGGGGGGTTGGAACTAGATGGTCTTTAAGGTCCCTTCCAACCCAAACCATTCTATGATTCTATGAAAAAGGCTGGGATTGTTTTATCACACCACATGTCCAATCAGCTGTAGGTCTGAATTAACTGCTGGCTTTTTAACCCTTATTCTCATATGTGCATTCAGTAAGAGAAAAGCGAGTTTGCTGTGGAAGGGAGCTGACAGTGAGGATCGCAGTGCTGGGACCACAGAAGAGTTTCCGGCTGCTGCTTCAGAGAAAAAGGCAGAGATGCTGCAAGGGCTGGGAGTGCTGGCTGGCCAGAGCTGCACCAAGCTGCCGTGCCTTTCCAGTCATTTTAAGTTGTTAGGGAAAAACAACAGCTACATGAAGCTGAGGCATTGTTGTCTCGGCAGGCAGGAGGGCACGATGTCGGTAGCGCAGCCTGACTGCTGAAGGCCAGGGCACAAAAGGATTGCAGGGGTTTTCTGCCACAAGCTGTGATGGCACTTCTTTAACACCAAGAGCTTGAGGTATTTTTGTTAACCCCTGTGACTTTTTCCTTTTTCAGGTTTATGCCGCCCGATGACCCATTGGGCCGACACGGACCCACTCTGAGTAACTTCCTCAGCAAAAAGCCAGTGCTTCCTGAACCAAAATGGCAGCCTTGTCCCTATGGTGGGTTCCTCTCCATGCTGTGAACTGGCGCCCCCTTCCTCCTGCCCCTTGCTTCCCAGCAGCACTCTCCTTCGGCTGAGGGCAAGTGCTGTTGCCATCTGCTGTCCTGCTTCGTGTGGTGGGGACCTGGGCCTGGGCTGCTCTAGTGTGATGCGTAAGTGGCTTCAGCCTCGGCGAGGGCAGCAGTGGTTTCGGTCCCTGCAGCCTTCCCTGCATGCAGCATCCAAACCAGGCACCATGGCTGTGCTGACCCCCCAGCCTGCACACACTTTTGCAGAATGGACATGCCTGGTAGCACTTGTGGAAGGCTGTCCAAAGGCTTCCCTCTTTCCTCTCCCAACAGCTTTCCAGTGACGTGGAGGTTTCTCAGAGATAAATCCCTGTACCAGTTGTTAAAGCGATCCCTTGTAGCAGCAGGTCTCCCAGCCCACTGAGTGCAGCAACTGGAACAGAAATGTATTTCAGACATTTCCAAAATAGCAGAAACTTCCTTTCACTGCTGCTTCACCCTGCTATTTAGGTCAGCAGTATTTAAATCTGGGGTCAAAAGCACTGAACTGGAAAATAGCACTTCCCCTCTTTGCTGTTTGTGCTCACTGCGCCCTGCAAATGCACAGTGCTGGGGAGAAGGGGCCACCACGTGCATCGCCGTGGGTGCTAATGACAACCTCCGGTTTGATACGTTCTTTTCTTTTTATGCTTTCAGGTAAAAAATGCACCTATGGCAATAAATGCAAATTTTACCACCCAGAGAGACCACATCAAGCTCAGCTCTCGGTTGCTGATGAGCTCAGGGCCAAAACAAAGGGCCCGTTAGGCCTGGGGAAAGAGGAGGAGAGGCGTAACCGCTCACCGTACAGGGCCAGGGGAGAGCCTGCACCGCCCGACGCCTGCACAGTAACACTGCGAGAAGCCAGCGGCTCTGCAGGGCCTTCCTGCTACTCAGGGTGGGCCCGAGGCGGCTGTCCTCAGCAGCCCCCCAGCGCCTGGGCCCTCGGCCCCAGCTCTGACCCGGGCCTGGACCAGCGGTTGCTGCAGCCAAAGCCACCACGAGACCAGCTGCTCCTGGAGGAGATGTCGGCGCTCTCCATTGGTGACGACACCTACGGCTGCAACCGGTCCATGTGTAGCTCTCAGGACAGGGAGGTGATGGACAGCCCTCATCGCTCTGGTGGCCTCAGGCACAACTCCTACTCCCTTCAGCACCCCCGGAGCTCAGAGGACACCTGCTTACTGGGATGCCCTTTCCAGCCAACAGTGCTCCCGTCTGCACAGGGCTGGATGCACCCTGAGCGCAGCTGGCCTCAGGAGCACTGCGGTGTGCACGGAATGGGACAGGGGAACCTCTATGCCCCTGATGGCGCTCAGCGCAGGCAGCCCTTGGAGATTCAGCACCACGTTCTGCCGCAGTCCGAGGCTCTTCCCCCCGACCTGCTTCGCTACCGTGAGCATCAGCCGCAGCACCGTTTCCCCAGCCAGCCCCCACCGCAGCCCTTTCTGGTGGACTCCAGCAGCGGACTGGGCTTCTTCCAGAAAGCTCACGCTTACTCTGATGCCTTGTACAGCGACTACTGGCCCACCCCAGCTGCAAGACTCCCCTCTGCCCAGCAAGCAGACATACCCAGGGAGCTGTGCTCTCTTTTCCCTTACAGTGACGTGAACCAGGTCATGGCTTTGTACCCTGATAGCAAGGATGTTGCCGGCTTTACACCACCGATTCAGAGACACAGAAACTTGTGAGGCCTCCAGACCAAACCCAAGTCCTGGGGCAAAAAAAGATGCTACTCTGATGCTTAACTAAGCATTATTGAAGGGCTTTACAGCAAGGGTTATAGCTGTCCCAGGGGTGCAAGTCAAAGCATCAACGAGCTACGTCACGTAAGGCATCACGTCAAGGCAAAGGCTGCCGTTCGCTGGAGCAGGATCTCATTCACCTCCCATGGAAGTGAAGGGGAGGGCTCAGGGTAACTGGGCTGTCAGCATTTGAACCCCTCTGGTAACAGGGTTCAGGCTGGCATAGCTCTTCATTAATGCCTTGAAACACCAGATTTGTTTCTAAAGCCCTGACCTATTGTTCAACTACCGTAAAAGAACCGTGCTCCACTGTCCCCAGTAAAGGGCTCTCCATAGACTGCCCCCATGCCTACTTGCTCAGCTAGCATAAAAAGTAATTTGGCCTCTCCTCCCCAGCACGGAGCTGTGCTCCCTGCTAGAAGGCAGCTCTGGGCCCATGCTGTTGCCTGGTACGGGCCCAGCCCTGTATCAGTGAGCTTCCAGAGCGACACCGCGTTGTTACAGGCCAGCGCTGTGAACGCGCAGGGTCGCCGGCGGTGCTGGCGGCACACCGCAGCCCTTGCAGGTACCGCTCTCAGGGGTCACGCACAACCTAAGTCAGATCGGGGAAGCCGTCTTCAGTCTAAGCCATGAGGTGAACTGGGCCCTGGGGGTGGTTAACTCAAAAAAGAAGACACACAGGTGATACTAACATGGGGAAAAGCATCTTTGTGGTACCACACAAGAAAACTATTGTGGACTTAACCCTTAATTACCAAAAGCGGTCCCATAATGCAATTACACAGCTGATCTATGATTACAGACATTTAAACTGTGTTCTGCTGGGACGTGTTGGATTTTCAGTAAGCTGTAAAGCTGCTAATCTCAGCATTATTTCACTGAATTCTCCCTGTTGTAATTCAGATACTAAGGTTGATCCTGAAGGTTTTTGGCATTGTACCAAAGTTTAAGTATGTCGGTATGACATGTTTTAAAACTGCTTTAACATAGTATAAAATAGTCATCTAGAGCTCTTTGTACCGAATAATGTAGTCTTTTTTTTTTCTTTTCCCTCCATTCCTCTTAGTACTGATGCTTCATCAGGTCCAACCTTCAGGTGGGATTTACAAACTCTCTGCCCCTGCAGTCTCTCTATTAGATTCTCCTCCGAAGGTGCTATCAGCGATGTTGGTCCCAGGCAGGAATTAAACATGGCTCTTACTGACAACTCTGACTTCTCTGGATGTGACTAAGGAGTAGTAACTTACCTTTGGTGGCATTATCACGAGGTGCATTTTGAAATCGGTGGTAGTTTGACTTGTTTCCTTCTGCGTTCCACCTTTTTTTTTTTTTCTTGGTGGTGGTGCTTAAATAGTCTTCAGGAAACAAGTATACTGTATCAGTTCCATCTCTTATGGCCATGTGGCTGGCTCCAAGAAATTCTAATTTGGATTTTGGAGGTATGATTTATCTTTACAGAATGTGATAGGGTTTTTTTTCTGTATGTCATAAATCTTTCACTAATAAGGGTGGAATTATAACTGGATCACCAGGATGGCCTATAAACTTACCTGTTCCATATTACATAAAGAAGAGAAATGCCCTTAAACCAAAACTATATATACAGAATAAACACAGCTTTATATAAAGCAAATGTGAATTGCTTTGAAAAGTACTTGAAGATCTACAGCTGAAATACGCCACACGCTGCTCAAGACGTTGAAGCAAACTGAGACATTTAATGGCTTAAATGCCTATATCGTGCCTATACACGGCCAGGCTCCTTGGCTGGCCTTGCGACCTGTACCGGGGCTTTCCCAGCTACTGCTGTGCACACCGATACGGCTGTGCATGTATGGCTGCGCTCGCAGAGAGAGTGCAGTGCTGAAAAATGCCTTCCACAGGCTGAGACAGAGCAGCCCGAATGACAGCGTTTGGAACATACACAGCACTGGAGCAGGATGTAATCGTACATGTCCATGTTTATTTTTATGTCTGGAATGTACGTTGCATATTTCCATACAGAGAGCATTTCAAATCTATAGGAAAATCGGCGCCCTGCCTTTATATAGTGCCCTTGGCTTGCTGGATGCATGCATAAGCTTTTCTCCTTATCCTTCGGGGGTGCACAGAAATTCGGTCATCGTTCAAAACCCTCTCTCGATGTTTAATACTTTCTTTTTCTTTCATTTCTGTCTTATTTACTGGGGAATCTCTCAGCAGAACACACAGAAATGCATTCTACTGAGAAATCGTGCGAGAAAACAAACCAGACTTTGGCCCTAACCAGAACTTACTTCCTCCTGGCTCTTCTGCTCCCCAGAGGGGTTTTTCTCACGGAGCAGTTGCTGGAGGGCAGCTCGGCAGCAGCGCTGTGTCACTGCCTGCTTGGGAGGAACTCTGCCCTTGGCTACGGGGCCCACGGAGTGCGCGGGCTGGGTCCTTATTTCACCACAGCACCAGCATCCTGGAGTTCCTGCTGCAGGGCCTTTCCCACCAACCCAGACAGGAGGATTCCTTCTTGGCTTTGTCAGCTCCCGAGGTACGGGAAGGGGCTGCGAGCAGAACGGAGGAGGCAGCTCTTGCACAGACAGGGGAGGAGGCTGCTGCTGTTTGGTGCCTCTGCCGAGATGCATTTGAGTCCAGCTCTCGCTGCCAAGTTGAAAATGAATCCATAAATCCCACCACCACCTTGATGTTCTTTGCTTTTTGGTTGTCAAAACTCTTTTAGAAGAATCTGGAAGCAGTGGGAGCAATCCTCCAGGAGATGGGCGGCTTTCCTAAGTGGGATTTACAGAGCTGCCAAGTTCATTTTAAGATTAAAAAAACCCCACCCACTCATAACGGAGAATCCTCTTCTCTACTCTCACCCTTTCCCAGGAAGTTAGGAAGCCACAGACACCCTCCTTGGTGAGGTGCTAGGGACACGAGAGAACAGCTATTTCACTGAGAAATCTTGGGTGCAAGTCACCCCTGCAACAGCCTCTGAGTGTAAAAAGGGGGGAAGAGGGTGGTCCTCTGCACCCCATGCCATCCTGGGCAGCTCGCAGTGCTTCACGCCCACCTCTTCTTAAATACAGGGATTTCTCCCTCACAGAACATGGATGGCAAGTCTATTAACGTGCTGATCTTAGCCACCATAAAAACCAACGCCCTAAGACGGTCTACGAAGTAGACGATACTCTCGCTCTGTATCAAACGTGTACTGGCCAATCGTTCTGAGAAGTTTTGCTAATGTTTTAACCCACTTCCTAGAAGAGCTGACACCACTTATAAACAAACATTGGAACTAATCACCCAGAAGTAAATAGAAGCAGACAACAGGTTTCACAGCTTCTCTCCTCAAAAATGTTGGATTGCTAGGGAAGAGCAATCAAGCCCTGTGCTTCCCCAAGTGTGACAGACCACCTCTTGCAAGTCAAAAAAACCCCAAAGCCTCTGGTGAAAACGTATAACAGACAGGCTCCTACGCCGGATGCCGGTACTGTACGTACAGACCTCTAAGGTAACAATTCAGATCACCTTTTGCATGGACTTTCCCCAGGCCAGGATAGTGAATGTCTCAGCTTTACTCCTGGAGCCAGGACTCGTTCACCACAAACCCTTTAGCCCAGGGTACGTCTGCTCTGCATTCACCCACAGACCCCCCGTAGCGTTTACCTCCTGCCTGCTGGTGGGACCGGGCCGCTGCGGACGCTCGAGAAGACCAGGCCGACGTCACAGCAGTCAGTAGCGTTACTAAGAAAGCGCTGTGACTTGCAGTCGATAGCGACGGGATTTTTAGAGCATTTTAGCCACGTCCCTTCCCCGCCCTGTGTTGGGCTCGCTGCCTTGAAGTCTTGCAGCAGGGTCAGAGGAACGCTTTAGTGAGAGGTGCTGTTGTGCTGGCTTGGCACGCGCAACCAGAGAGGACGTGCACACAGAGCAAAGCTGTGAGCGCAGCGACGCGGGGGAGCAGCACGCGCGAGGCAGTAAGCCAGAAAGGTAGGACGAGGCACACGGGGCTGTTTGGCCTTTGAAGGCAGTGAGGAAACAACGTGCCTCAGCTGCTCACCCTAACCGCACCGCCAGCTCCTCCTCTTTGACTTTCCCCTTGTCATGCAATTCCCTCTGTTTCCCTCCTTTTTAAGCTTTTTTCCCCTCCCGTTCTTGCTGGGCTCAGGATTTTCAGCGCACTCTTCATGGGTCACAAGTTAAAAAATGCTCCCCCATCCCAACCCCTCTCCTTCCACCTGCACAAAACCACCCCCCCAACACTGGTACCCCAGACTCTTGTTTTGTGCTCCCTTCCCACTCCAGGCACTCACCTTCTCCCTTGCTGGGCCCACACACTCCTCCTGCTCCCAGCCCAGATGGCGTCCTGTCTTCTCCCTTCAACCCTGCCCTCCAGGTGAAGGGTTTTGGGGTTTCGTTTATTGTCTTATTGCTGTTTGGTTTTAGCTTCTGTTGTTGTTAAAACATTGACATAGATACCTTTAGCCTGGAGGAGGTGAGAGATGCCCTGGCTGTTTGCCCATGCTCCCTTATATCAGTCTTCCCAAAAAATGCTTTCTGGGGAAGGAAACAGAGGCAAAGTTACAGTTGCGGGTGGTTGTGCTGACTTCCTACAGCCTCTTTAAGGATCAAATGGGATGCTAGCAGAAACTCAACCACCCCACGCTCTTCACCATCTCCAATCCTACTGTAAAAGCAACATTCACCCTCCACCTTCCGTCAGCAAGACCGCACTTCCAAGGGAGCACTAACACCAATGGTTTCATACGGAAGACAAGTGAGCATTAGGACGCTGAATGGCAGAACAAAACCATAAACTAGAAGCAGGCAGCAAAACAAAGATGGCACAAAAACCAGTCAAACAGAAATATGTTTTCTCTGAGACTCCAAGCAACGGAGAAAACCCCTAAATAAGAAGCGGTACCAACTACAGTAACTGCATGAACTACAGCGCTGAATGTGAAGACAAGAGG